TGCCATATGGTAGTTTCAGATCACTGATGTCCCCCAGATGGCTTGAGGAAGGGATTTTAATTCAAGGAAAATCAGCACTGAAGCCACACAATACTTCATAAAAAAGGTAAAAAGTCTAAAAAAATTTAAAGCATTTGTCAAATAATACCTTTATGGTTAAATAACATCATTCCAAATGGGTGATCATCCAGCATTACAAACTGGAAAACAAAGGCAAAAGGGGATTTAGCAGTGAAGCTCAATGTTTTGCTGTAAGGACAAAGCCCACTGTTCCCTGTGTGGTTTGTGCATATTTCTACTCAACATTGCCCTTCTCATGATGCAAGCATTATGCCAGAAAGTAGAGGTGATTTATGTGTCTCAGAGATTTCTCACCATGTCCATTGTGTTTGAGCAGGAGGCAAGTTTCTACATAATTTATAAATGATGTGAATTCTTCTGGACCCTTTTCTATTTTCAACAAGCAAGTCACCTCACTCGAGCACATTCCTTTCCAGGTGTCCTTCACCAGTAAGAGGCTATCTCAGTCCCACCATTTGCTCCCTAATTCCTCTGCCATGTGTACTGTGACACACAGAGGAGCATTTTGGTTAACAATGAAACAGAGGAACATTTTGGAGGCCAGCACTGTTTTGCTGATAAGTCTGAAACTGAAATTGACTCTTACAGTGTGAGAAGTTTTGCCTTTTTGTAGTTACTTAATATCCATCCTCAACTGTTTTTAGACCTCACAGCCCTGTATAGACATTTATGCAGGGCTCCTCTGGTTCCTTTCCTTGCAGATTTCATCTGGTTCCCTTCCTTCTAGGCCCACATTAGACTAAGCCCTATTGAGACACACCATGCTTTATTCCTTCGCTTCTTTTCCTGCATTTTAAGCTTCTGTTCCTACCAGCTGTTCAAGTTCTAGGTAAAATGCAACACCCAATTGCTAATGATGAAGACCAGGATACGGCTGTCACTGTTCCCACACGTAAAGAGTCTGTTTGCTTTCAGGCAGCACGACATCAGAGCTGTAAATTATACAAAGTGGGCATTACTGTGCCCTTTACCTTTAACACACACATGCATGGAACAAAAGCAGCAGAGACTCCAGTCTCAGCAGGCAGCTGGCCACTCAGGCCACAGGCAGTGAATACCAAGGCCGACAGTTTTACCTGGGAAACCAAACTCACCAGCCCAGGTTGATGATGTCAGTTTGCAGGAAGTGCTTGGCACTGCCAAAGCTGCCCAAGTAGGCAGTGGTGGCAGCCTGGGTCTTGCCTAGAAGCAGCTGTGTATTCATCTCGTGACCTGGATTCCATAGGGAGCCCTCTGATTTCCCTTTTCCCAAGAGGTTTCTTCAGCTGAAGTTGCTGACAGGGACTTGACACACCGCAATAGGTTCATGGTGGTTTTATTTCTCGGGTCCTCAGTCCTGCGTGGGATTCTGTAAGTGGGTGCTGCAGGGGATCCACCAAGGCATCAAAAACGCCTGCCCTGCACCCAAGGGTGGCGCAAGATCTCCTCCAGCTCCGGCCTGGCCGCGGGGTTCCTGGCCAAGCAGCAGCGGATCAGGTGCTGGCACTCTGGGGAGAGAAGGCAGACAGCGCCGGTCACCGGCAGAAGGCTCCCGCCCAGCTGCCCCCGGCGCCCGCAGGGCCCGGGCCGTGCTGCGTGTGCTCGGGGCTGCGCCGGCCTCCCGAGCCGCTCTGCCCCGCGCGAAGAGAGCGGCACGGCGGGACACGGCCGCCTCCTTGGGCCGCGCGGGCCACGCTGAGCCCGTGGGCACGGGCCACCCCCTGCGGCCGGCCCTGGGGGCAGATCAACGGTGCGCGGAGCTGCGTGAGGGCCGCGCCGGGCTGCGCGCCGCCCCCTGCCGAAGCCGCCTTCTGGGGGCCGGAGACCAACCTGGAGAGACCTGCTGCCAGAAGAAGAGCTGCCCCTGCACGATGGCATGGTCGTCCTCGAAGGGGAGGCACCCGCAGACCATGACGTACAGCAGCACGCCCAGGGACCAGACGGTCGCCGCATGGCCGTGGTAGCAGCCCAGACAGATCCACTCGGGCGGGCTGTAGGCGTGCGTTCCTAGGGGAGACGGGCGGCGCTGTCCAGGCGCGGGCTGCTGCCTTCCAGAGCCCGGCGCCAGGCCCCTGGCTGAGGCAGGGGCTGCACCCGCGGCCACAGCTTCCCCCCACCCCCGAGGCCACCCGCGTCCCCCAGCCAGCTGGCCAAAGCCAAGGAACCATTCTGCGAGGCAAAGAAGGCCAGCGGAACGGCCCCGGCCCTTGCGGGCCCGCCGAGCCGGGAGGCCCGGAGCCGGCTTTTGCCGCCCCCCTCTGTGGGCAGGGCCGGCGGCCGGCTCCCGGGGCACGGCGTCTGCCCCGGGCCAAAGGGCAGCCGGCTGAAGGCCGCAGCCCAGGAGGGAGTGGGGCCCTGCAGGGCCTGGCACCGCGAGCAGCGCCCGGGCCCTGGGCTCACCGGCAAAGCGCGTGTAGGCCCGCTCCTGGAGGAAGGTGCCGCAACCGAAGTCGATGAGCTTCAGGTCGCCGCTCTCCGGGTCCACGAGGAGGTTCTCCGGCTTGATGTCCCGGTGCAGGACGCCGCAGGCCGTGCAGTGCCGCACGGCCTCCAGCACCTGGACGAAAAGCCAGCGCGCCATCTCCTCGCTCAGGAACCCCTGCTCCAGCAGGAACTGCAGGAGATCCTGCCATGCCTCCGGACGCTCCAGCACCAGCACGAAGCTGTCAGGCAGCTCGAACCAGTCGAGGAGCCGGATGATGTTGTAGCAGCTGGAGCCCACCTTCTCCATCAGCACGATCTCCATGGGCACGCGGGTGCCGTCGGGCTGCGAGGAGGAGAAAATCAGCGCCTGCGGCAGGCCTGATGCTGCCCCGGGGCTGCTGCGCTGCGCCCCGCCTGGGATGGCCCCGCGCCCCCTTGCGCAGCCTCCCTGGTGCTGGGGCTTCCTCCCGCCCGGGGGATGCTCGGGGGGTGCCCCTGCCCGGCCCCGCCGCCGCTGTTTGCCCCGGCCGGGCCCGCCATGCTGCGGCTCGCACGCTGAGCCCACGCCCGCTGGCCCCGCCGTGCCCCGCCTCCCGCTCGCAGTCGGCGCCCCGGGATTCTCCCCGCCCGCCCCGGGCCGCTCTGTCCCGCCGGCCCCGCTCCCTCACCAGCTCGTCCCACTGCAGGACGCTCTCCCGGGCCACGTGTTTGATGGCCACCTGCAAGAAGCCATGCAGAGAGGAGGGCTGAGCTCCAGCGCTGCCCCTTCCCAGCGCTGCCCCTCGTCCCACGCCCGGCCGTCGCGGCCACTCACCGGGCTCCCGTCGGAGAGGCGGATGCCCGAGAAAACGGTGCCGCAGCCACCGCTGCCCAGCTGCGGGCCCAGCTGGTAGAGCTCCTGCAGCTCCTTCTTTTGCCCTGCCAAAGGCCGAGAGCGAGCCATCAGCGCCGCGCCCAGGAACCCCCCCAGTGCCCGCCAGTGCAGCGGGCCGGGCCCCCGCGGGCCGCGCCGCTCTCACCTGCTCCCTGCTGCGCGCCGGGCAGCGGCCACTGCCCCGCAGCCGACGGGCAGGCGAGCGGCAGAGCCGGGCCCGGGCAGCGCGCACAGGCGGCTGCAGGAGCCCCGCTGCAGCGGGGCACGGCGGCACCGTCGCTGTCCCCGGCCTCGTGGGCTGGACTCTGCTCTTCACCACGGCCGGGGCTGCAGCCCGAGAATTCCTCGCCCAGGGGGGTGCCGGGAGCAGCTGCAAAGCAAGCAGGGCTCTCTGAAGCCGTGCCAGCAGAGGCACTGGAAAGAGCCAGCGACCAGGCTGCTCCCAGGGGCCCTGGCCTGGCCTGGCCGCGCCCCTCAAGAGCGCCGGGGCAGCCTCAGACAGCGCCTCAGGAGATCTCACCTGCTATTGGAGAGCCCTTGGTGGCAGTCGAGGGCTCTCTTGGAACAGCTCCCTGGAGCTGCAGGAGCCTCCTTGGTGTCTCCAGGCTCGTCTCCAGCACCAGGCTCGGGCTGTCGCCAGCTGGCACAAGCGGCACAGCGTCCTGGCAGCTGTGGGATGGCCACTGCTGGCTCCAGGACGCTTGCTGCTCGGCCAGCTTCTCCCGAGAAGGCTCCCCTGGATCGGGCTGGGCTCCCATTTGGACTTCGGGGCTTTCCCCGGCCACGTCAGGGGCCAGGGTTGCGCCCGCGTTGTTGAAGCCTGTGAGTCCAAGGGAGCTGGGAGACCTGTCCACGGGCTCTGCACCTTCTGCAGGCTGACAGGTCTCCCTGAGCCTCTGCGAGGGATGGAGGCTGTCAGAGAGAGCAGAGGCTCCTGGCAGGATGCAGGGTCTCTGACAGCCTGAGGTTCCTGCAGGGATGGCTCTCCCCTGCTGTGCCATCCTTGCAGGCCTTGAGGCTCTCCCAGGGATGGAGAATCGTGCTGGGAGCAGCCTCTTGAAGGGATGGAGGCTTCGGGAGGAGCTGGTCAGGCCACAGCAGGGCAGGTGGCCTCGCTTCACCAGCTCCTGCAGTTGTTTCCACAGCGCCTGCCACATCCCCGTGTAGAGCGGCGCCCGTGTCCCCTTGGGATCCCAGAGCAGCCGCATCAGCTCCTGCAGCTCCTGGGCCAGAGCCACGCAGGGGCCGCAGCTGCAGGGCCTGCCCAGGGGGCTGGCGGGAGCACGCGGCCGCTTGCGCCGAGTGGCCCGAGGCCTGCAGGGCCTGGGAGCCGCAGGGGCTCCTCGCTTCCTGCGTGAGCCTCCGGGCCGGGCCCCGGGGCGCTCGCTCCTCTGCGCTGTCCGTGCCCGCCGGCTCGGTGGGTGCCGGTGGCCAAGGGCCCACCAGACGGCCCCAGCGGCCAGCAGCAGGACAAGCACAATCCCCAGGACGCCGCCGTCACTCATGGCTCCGGCACGTCCCATCGCAACTGCACTGGTGGCTGTGGGCGCCGGCCCGGCTTTATGCAGTGCCAGCGCGGTGATGTCACAGTGCTGCGGCCGGCACAGCCCTGGGACATCACAGCCCTGCCTCACGCCAGCGCTCAGCCCCTCTGTGCCCTCAGAGCCCAGCCCGCCTCCGGGAGCAGCAGCACCGGCTCGTGCCTGAAGATGGACACGGCCAGAGAAAGCTGCTGGCAGGGAGAACGGGAGCTCAGCCTGCTGCAAGGCATCGTTCCCTGCAGCGAGGGGCACACCTGGAACTGCCCTGGTGCCAGCAGCGTCAAGCCCACGGCTCCCGGGACGCTTGTTCCCAGCTGGAAACACCCACTACTGTGTGCCTGAGAAGACAGATCCTCCAGAGACAAAGAGAGTTGAAGTTCCTCAGTCTCTGGGCAGCTCTCCTGAGCTGACTGCCTGTCGAGGGCAGCAAGAGTTTCTTGTTAGCAGCTCACTGACGTCTGCTGTGCCTCTGCTCTAAATAAATCGGGGTTTGCCAACAAGCGCTCATTGTGCTCCCACTGCTCTAGCGTGGACTGGGATTCAGTTTCTTTCTTCCCAAGAGCTGGCCATGTGTTGGGTTTGGATGGGAATGCTGTGCCCCAAACAAGGGTGCTTTGGTTTCTGCTGAGCAAGGCTTGCCCTCTTCAAGGACTTTGCAGTGTCCCTTTGTACACCAGCGCAATGGTTTCCACTGGGAAGGGAAGGATGAGAGTCAAAGACAGAGGCAACGAACACATCTTAAACACCTTTGCTGTGTCTCTGTCCTTCTTTGGGAGGTGACCATCCATATCCTGGTAGGGGACAATGTTATTTCACTGTTTTTTCTACAATGGGTTTTTTTTTTTTTCCATTAATGTATTTATAACCACTCATTTTATCCTGCCCTGCATTTCTGGCCACCTTCATCTCCTGCTGAGCTTTCACCACGTCAAATTTCTCCCTGCAGTTCCAATTTCTCCCTGCAGTGGCTAGAAGCATCTGTGTATTCTTCTCCTGACCTGGATTCCACAGGGCACACAGCTTCCTTTTCCATCCTCTTTCCCAGAGAAGATGCCTGTCAAGGCAAGCCAGCCTCATGCCTTGCCTGCTTGGCTTCCGACATTTGGGCATCGCCTGCTCCTGTGCCTTAGGAGATGTTTCCAAAGTGACCAGCACGGATGGACCCCAGTAGCTTCAAAACCATTTACCCTGGGTCCTTGCTTAGCAGTTCCCTGAGCAGCCTGGAGTCTGCTCCCTTCATGCTCCAGGCTGAGGCTTTGCTGGCCCTTTTCCTCTTGTCAGAGGTCTGAGCGTCCAATTTATTTGTAGTGGCTGTGGCCAAGAGGGTCCCCAATTCCCGCTTGGCCCAAGGCACGTGGGGCTCAGAGGGTAGCCTGGCTCTAGGGGGGCTGAGCTGGAGAGTCCTGGGCTGTGGGGGGCTCCTCCCTTACTGGGAGGAGTTTTCCTGGGGAGGAAGAAGGCTCTGGCATGAGCCACGAGGCCTGGTGTGCATTTGCCTGCTGCCCATGGGAGGGAAACAAAGAGGAAGAGTTCATGGGGGCTCAACGTGAAATGATGTTCTGCTGCTTCAGGTTCTTCTCAGAGCTTTGGAGAGGAGGCATCTCTGTCCCTGATACACGCTGATCCTTGCAATGCACACAGAGAACCGTGTGTCACTTGAGGAGACACACCAAGAAGCCACTGTCCCTTTCAAAGGGCAGCTGTTGTTTCACTGTTGCATTTCTTGGCTCGGTCAAGCCCCTCCTACCCGCACTACAGCTTGTGCTTGGAGACACAAAAGTACCAGCCTGGAGGAAAGGCATGGAAAGCTGGACAAAGGCTGAAGGGAGCCCTCTGATTTCCCCTATTCCCAAGAGGTTTCTTCAGCTGAAGTTGCTGACAAGAGCTGGACTTGACACGCCGCAATGGGTTTGTTGTTGTTTTATTTCCCGGGTCCTCAGTCCTGCGTGGGATTCTGTAAGTGGGTGCTGCAGGGGATCCACCAAGGCATCAAAAACGCCTGCCCTGCACCCAAGGGTGGCGCAAGATCTCCTCCAGCTCCGGCCTGGCTGCGGGGTTCCTGGCCAAGCAGCAGCGGATCAGGTGCTGGCACTCTGGGGAGAGAAGGCAGACAGCGCCGGTCACCGGCAGAAGGCTCCCGCCCAGCTGCCCCCGGCGCCCGCGGGGCCCGGGCCGTGCTGCGTGTGCTCGGGGCTGCGCCGGCCTCCCGAGCCGCTCTGCCCCGCGGGAAGAGAGCGGCACGGCGGGACACGGCCGCCTCCTTGGGCCGCGCGGGCCACGCTGAGCCCGTGGGCACGGGCCACCCCCTGCGGCCGGCCCTGGGGGCAGATCAACGGTGCGCGGAGCTGCGTGAGGGCCGCGCCGGGCTGCGCGCCGCCCCCTGCCGAAGCCGCCTTCTGGGGGCCGGAGACCAACCTGGAGAGACCTGCTGCCAGAAGAAGAGCTGCCCCTGCACGATGGCATGGTCGTCCTCGAAGGGGAGGCACCCGCAGACCATGACGTACAGCAGCACGCCCAGGGACCAGACGGTCGCCGCATGGCCGTGGTAGCAGCCCAGACAGATCCACTCGGGCGGGCTGTAGGCGTGCGTTCCTAGGGGAGACGAGCGGCGCTGTCCAGGCGCGGGCTGCTGCCTTCCAGAGCCCGGCGCCAGGCCCCTGGCTGAGGCAGGGGCTGCACCCGCGGCCACAGCTTCCCCCCACCCCCGAGGCCACCCGCGTCCCCCAGCCAGCTGGCCAAAGCCAAGGAACCATTCTGCGAGGCAAAGAAGGCCAGCGGAACGGCCCCGGCCCTTGCGGGCCCGCCGAGCCGGGAGGCCCGGAGCCGGCTTTTGCCGCCCTCCTCTGTGGGCAGGGCCGGCAGCCGGCTCCCGGGGCACGGCGTCTGCCCCGGGCCAAAGGGCAGCCGGCTGAAGGCCGCAGCCCAGGAGGGAGTGGGGCCCTGCAGGGCCTGGCACCGCGAGCAGCGCCCGGGCCCTGGGCTCACCGGCAAAGCGCGTGTAGGCCCGCTCCTGGAGGAAGGTGCCGCAACCGAAGTCGATGAGCTTCAGGTCGCCGCTCTCCGGGTCCACGAGGAGGTTCTCCGGCTTGATGTCCCGGTGCAGGACGCCGCAGGCCGTGCAGTGCCGCACGGCCTCCAGCACCTGGACGAAAAGCCAGCGCGCCATCTCCTCGCTCAGGAACCCCTGCTCCAGCAGGAACTGCAGGAGATCCTGCCATGCCTCCGGACGCTCCAGCACCAGCACGAAGCTGTCAGGCAGCTCGAACCAGTCGAGGAGCCGGATGATGTTGTAGCAGCTGGAGCCCACCTTCTCCATCAGCACGATCTCCATGGGCACGCGGGTGCCGTCGGGCTGCGAGGAGGAGAAAATCAGCGCCTGCGGCAGGCCTGATGCTGCCCCGGGGCTGCTGCGCTGCGCCCCGCCTGGGATGGCCCCGCGCCCCCTTGCGCAGCCTCCCTGGTGCTGGGGCTTCCTCCCGCCCGGGGGATGCTCGGGGGGTGCCCCTGCCCGGCCCCGCCGCCGCTGTTTGCCCCGGCCGGGCCCGCCATGCTGCGGCTCGCACGCTGAGCCCACGCCCGCTGCCCCCGCCGTGCCCCGCCTCCCGCTCGCAGTCGGCGCCCCGGGATTCTCCCCGCCCGCCCCGGGCCGCTCTGTCCCGCCGGCCCCGCTCCCTCACCAGCTCGTCCCACTGCAGGACGCTCTCCCGGGCCACGTGTTTGATGGCCACCTGCAAGAAGCCATGCAGAGAGGAGGGCTGAGCTCCAGCGCTGCCCCTTCCCAGCGCTGCCCCTCGTCCCACGCCCGGCCGTCGCGGCCACTCACCGGGCTCCCGTCGGAGAGGCGGATGCCCGAGAAAACGGTGCCGCAGCCACCGCTGCCCAGCTGCGGGCCCAGCTGGTAGAGCTCCTGCAGCTCCTTCTTTTGCCCTGCCAAAGGCCGAGAGCGAGCCATCAGCGCCGCGCCCAGGAACCCCCCCAGTGCCCGCCAGTGCAGCGGGCCGGGCCCCCGCGGGCCGCGCCGCTCTCACCTGCTCCCTGCTGCGCGCCGGGCAGCGGCCACTGCCCCGCAGCCGACGGGCTGGCGAGCGGCAGAGCCGGGCCCGGGCAGCGCGCACAGGCGGCTGCAGGAGCCCCGCTGCAGCGGGGCACGGCGGCACCGTCGCTGTCCCCGGCCTCGTGGGCTGGACTCTGCTCTTCACCACGGCCGGGGCTGCAGCCCGAGAATTCCTCGCCCAGGGGGGTGCCGGGAGCAGCTGCAAAGCAAACAGGGCTCTCTGACGCCGTGCCAGCAGAGGCACTGGAAAGAGCCAGCGACCAGGCTGCTCCCAGGGGCCCTGGCCTGGCCGCGCCCCTCAAGAGCGCCGGGGCAGCCTCAGACAGCGCCTCAGGAGATCTCACCTGCTATTGGAGAGCCCTTGGTGGCAGTCGAGGGCTCTCTTGGAACAGCTCCCTGGAGCTGCAGGAGCCTCCTTGGTGTCTCCAGGCTCGTCTCCAGCACCAGGCTCGGGCTGTCGCCGGCTGGCACAAGCGGCACAGCGTCCTGGCAGCTGTGGGATGGCCACTGCTGGCTCCAGGACGCTTGCTGCTCGGCCAGCTTCTCCCGAGAAGGCTCCCCTGGATCGGGCTGGGCTCCCATTTGGACTTCGGGGCTTTCCCCGGCCACGTCAGGGGCCAGGGTTGCGCCCGCGTTGTTGAAGCCCGTGAGTCCAAGGGAGCTGGGAGACCTGTCCACGGGCTCTGCACCTTCTGCAGGCTGACAGGTCTCCCTGAGCCTCTGCGAGGGATGGAGGCTGTCAGAGAGAGCAGAGGCTCCTGGCAGGATGCAGGGTCTCTGACAGCCTGAGGTTCCTGCAGGGATGGCTCTCCCCTGCTGTGCCATCCTTGCAGGCCTTGAGGCTCTCCCAGGGATGGAGAATCTTGCTGGGAGCAGCCTCTTGAAGGGATGGAGGCTTCGGGAGGAGCTGGTCAGGCCACAGCAGGGCATGTGGCCTCGCTTCACCAGCTCCTGCAGTTGTTTCCACAGCGCCTGCCACATCCCCGAGTAGAGCGGCGCCCGTGTCCCCTTGGGATCCCAGAGCAGCCGCATCAGCTCCTGCAGCTCCTGGGCCAGAGCCACGCAGGGGCCGCAGCTGCAGGGCCTGCCCAGGGGGCTGGCGGGAGCACGCGGCCGCTTGCGCCGAGTGGCCCGAGGCCTGCAGGGCCTGGGAGCCGCAGGGGCTCCTCGCTTCCTGCGTGAGCCTCCGGGCCGGGCCCCGGGGCGCTCGCTCCTCTGCGCTGTCCGTGCCCGCCGGCTCGGTGGGTGCCGGTGGCCAAGGACCCACCAGACGGCCCCAGCGGCCAGCAGCAGGACAAGCACAATCCCCAGGACGCCGCCGTCACTCATGGCTCCGGCACGTCCCATCGCAACTGCACTGGTGGCCGTGGGCGCCGGCCCGGCTTTATGCAGTGCCAGCGCGGTGATGTCACAGTGCTGCGGCCGGCACAGCCCTGGGACATCACAGCCCTGCCTCACGCCAGCGCTCAGCCCCTCTGTGCCCTCAGAGCCCAGCCCGCCTCCGGGAGCAGCAGCACCGGCTCGTGCCTGAAGATGGACACGGCCAGAGAAAGCTGCTGGCAGGGAGAACGGGAGCTCAGCCTGCTGCAAGGCATCGTTCCCTGCAGCGAGGGGCACACCTGGAACTGCCCTGGTGCCAGCAGCGTCAAGCCCACGGCTCCCGGGACGCTTGTTCCCAGCTGGAAACACCTACTACTGTGTGCCTGAGAAGACAGATCCTCCAGAGACAAAGAGAGTTGAAGTTCCTCAGTCTCTGGGCAGCTCTCCTGAGCTGACTGCCTGTCGAGGGCAGCAAGAGTTTCTTGTTAGCAGCTCACTGACGTCTGCTGTGCCTCTGCTCTAAATAAATCGGGGTTTGCCAACAAGCGCTCATTGTGCTCCCACTGCTCTAGCGTGGACTGGGATTCAGTTTCTTTCTTCCCAAGAGCTGGCCATGTGTTGGGTTTGGATGGGAATGCTGTGCCCCAAACAAGGGTGCTTTGGTTTCTGCTGAGCAAGGCTTGCCCTCTTCAAGGACTTTGCAGTGTCCCTTTGTACACCAGCGCAATGGTTTCCACTGGGAAGGGAAGGATGAGAGTCAAAGACAGAGGCAACGAACACATCTTAAACACCTTTGCTGTGTCTCTGTCCTTCTTTGGGAGGTGACCATCCATATCCTGGTAGGGGACAATGTTATTTCACTGTTTTTTCTACAATGGGTTTTTTTTTTTTTCCATTAATGTATTTATAACCACTCATTTTATCCTGCCCTGCATTTCTGGCCACCTTCATCTCCTGCTGAGCTTTCACCACGTCAAATTTCTCCCTGCAGTTCCAATTTCTCCCTGCAGTGGCTAGAAGCATCTGTGTATTCTTCTCCTGACCTGGATTCCACAGGGCACACAGCTTCCTTTTCCATCCTCTTTCCCAGAGAAGATGCCTGTCAAGGCAAGCCAGCCTCATGCCTTGCCTGCTTGGCTTCCGACATTTGGGCATCGCCTGCTCCTGTGCCTTAGGAGATGTTTCCAAAGTGACCAGCACGGATGGACCCCAGTAGCTTCAAAACCATTTACCCTGGGTCCTTGCTTAGCAGTTCCCTGAGCAGCCTGGAGTCTGCTCCCTTCATGCTCCAGGCTGAGGCTTTGCTGGCCCTTTTCCTCTTGTCAGAGGTCTGAGCGTCCAATTTATTTGTAGTGGCTGTGGCCAAGAGGGTCCCCAATTCCCGCTTGGCCCAAGGCACGTGGGGCTCAGAGGGTAGCCTGGCTCTAGGGGGGCTGAGCTGGAGAGTCCTGGGCTGTGGGGGGCTCCTCCCTTACTGGGAGGAGTTTTCCTGGGGAGGAAGAAGGCTCTGGCATGAGCCACGAGGCCTGGTGTGCATTTGCCTGCTGCCCATGGGAGGGAAACAAAGAGGAAGAGTTCATGGGGGCTCAACGTGAAATGATGTTCTGCTGCTTCAGGTTCTTCTCAGAGCTTTGGAGAGGAGGCATCTCTGTCCCTGATACACGCTGATCCTTGCAATGCACACAGAGAACCGTGTGTCACTTGAGGAGACACACCAAGAAGCCACTGTCCCTTTCAAAGGGCAGCTGTTGTTTCACTGTTGCATTTCTTGGCTCGGTCAAGCCCCTCCTACCCGCACTACAGCTTGTGCTTGGAGACACAAAAGTACCAGCCTGGAGGAAAGGCATGGAAAGCTGGACAAAGGCTGAAGGGAGCCCTCTGATTTCCCCTATTCCCAAGAGGTTTCTTCAGCTGAAGTTGCTGACAAGAGCTGGACTTGACACGCCGCAATGGGTTTGTTGTTGTTTTATTTCCCGGGTCCTCAGTCCTGCGTGGGATTCTGTAAGTGGGTGCTGCAGGGGATCCACCAAGGCATCAAAAACGCCTGCCCTGCACCCAAGGGTGGCGCAAGATCTCCTCCAGCTCCGGCCTGGCTGCGGGGTTCCTGGCCAAGCAGCAGCGGATCAGGTGCTGGCACTCTGGGGAGAGAAGGCAGACAGCGCCGGTCACCGGCAGAAGGCTCCCGCCCAGCTGCCCCCGGCGCCCGCGGGGCCCGGGCCGTGCTGCGTGTGCTCGGGGCTGCGCCGGCCTCCCGAGCCGCTCTGCCCCGCGGGAAGAGAGCGGCACGGCGGGACACGGCCGCCTCCTTGGGCCGCGCGGGCCACGCTGAGCCCGTGGGCACGGGCCACCCCCTGCGGCCGGCCCTGGGGGCAGATCAACGGTGCGCGGAGCTGCGTGAGGGCCGCGCCGAGCTGCGCGCCGCCCCCTGCCGAAGCCGCCCTCTTGGGGCCGGAGACCAACCTGGAGAGACCTGCTGCCAGAAGAAGAGCTGCCCCTGCACGATGGCATGGTCGTCCTCGAAGGGGAGGCACCCGCAGACCATGACGTACAGCAGCACGCCCAGGGACCAGACGGTCGCCGCATGGCCGTGGTAGCAGCCCAGACAGATCCACTCGGGCGGGCTGTAGGCGTGCGTTCCTAGGGGAGACGAGCGGCGCTGTCCAGGCGCGGGCTGCTGCCTTCCAGAGCCCGGCGCCAGGCCCCTGGCTGAGGCAGGGGCTGCACCCGCGGCCACAGCTTCCCCCCACCCCCGAGGCCACCCGCGTCCCCCAGCCAGCTGGCCAAAGCCAAGGAACCATTCTGCGAGGCAAAGAAGGCCAGCGGAACGGCCCCGGCCCTTGCGGGCCCGCCGAGCCGGGAGGCCCGGAGCCGGCTTTTGCCGCCCCCCTCTGTGGGCAGGGCCGGCAGCCGGCTCCCGGGGCACGGCGTCTGCCCCGGGCCAAAGGGCAGCCGGCTGAAGGCCGCAGCCCAGGAGGGAGTGGGGCCCTGCAGGGCCTGGCACCGCGAGCAGCGCCCGGGCCCTGGGCTCACCGGCAAAGCGCGTGTAGGCCCGCTCCTGGAGGAAGGTGCCGCAACCGAAGTCGATGAGCTTCAGGTCGCCGCTCTCCGGGTCCACGAGGAGGTTCTCCGGCTTGATGTCCCGGTGCAGGACGCCGCAGGCCGTGCAGTGCCGCACGGCCTCCAGCACCTGGACGAAAAGCCAGCGCGCCATCTCCTCGCTCAGGAACCCCTGCTCCAGCAGGAACTGCAGGAGATCCTGCCATGCCTCCGGACGCTCCAGCACCAGCACGAAGCTGTCAGGCAGCTCGAACCAGTCGAGGAGCCGGATGATGTTGTAGCAGCTGGAGCCCACCTTCTCCATCAGCACGATCTCCATGGGCACGCGGGTGCCGTCGGGCTGCGAGGAGGAGAAAATCAGCGCCTGCGGCAGGCCTGATGCTGCCCCGGGGCTGCTGCGCTGCGCCCCGCCTGGGATGGCCCCGCGCCCCCTTGCGCAGCCTCCCTGGTGCTGGGGCTTCCTCCCGCCCGGGGGATGCTCGGGGGGTGCCCCTGCCCGGCCCCGCCGCCGCTGTTTGCCC